TTTATCTTCAAGCTATAAAATCAACATTGACTGTTGATTCAACATTGACTATTGATTCAACATTTGTGAAGCAAATTCAATCAAGTATGTCCTGTGATCCTCTTATTCAAGATATTAAGGATACTTCTTCTAAGTCTCATGATACTTTCAAGTTTGAATTCAAGAATAATCTATTATATTTTGAAGGACTCCTATATATTCCAGAAGATGAAACTCGATTACGTATTCTTCAAGCTCGTCATGACTTTCTAGTAGCAAGATATTTTGGGTACAATAAAAATTTGCAACTAATATCCTGGGATTTTTGGTGGCCACAAATGTAGAAGGCAGTCAAAGATTTTGTACAATCTTATAATATTTGCTCAAGATCAAAAACTCCTCGTCATCGACCTTATGGACTTCTTGAGCCGTTATCCATTCTAGATCAACTATGATCTTCTGTTTCTACAGATTTCATCAAGGATCTTCCAATCTCAGGTTCTTATGACTCTATATTTGTGATAGTAGATCATTTTATCAAGATGGCACATTTTGTACCATGTACAAAATCCATCATAAGTGAAGAAACAGCAAAGCTTTTTATTAACAATATCATTTGCTATCATGGATTGCCAAAAGATATTATATTAGATAGGGGGACTCAATTTATATCAAGATTTTGAAGAATTCTATTCAAGATTTTAAAGGTGGATATAAAGCTTTCTTCAGCTTTTCATTGTTAAAGTAATAGACAAACAGAACGGGTAAATCAAGTTTTGGAGCAATATTTTAGATGTACCATCAATTAATATCAAGATGATTGGACAATTCTTTTACCATTGGCAGAGTTTGCATATAATAATTTGGTACATTCTTCCACTCAACAAACACCTTTCTTTCTCAATTATGGTTATCATCCATGTCTTGATACTTTTGACTTTTTAAAAATTGATGATCCTACGATGAAAGATTTAACAAATTTCTTGTCAAAGCTACATACAATAATGAAGATACAATTAAAGGAAGCTCAAGAACGTAAAAATTCTAATTGGGATGCCTATCATAAGGAACAACCATGATATAATATGGATGATAAGATATGGTTACTTCATTGTAATATCAAGTCTACTTGTCCTTATGATAAATTAGATTTTTGTAGGCTGAGACCTTTTCTTATTTGTGAAAAAATCAATCCTTTTGCCTATTGATTACATCTACTAAAGTCTATGAAGATCCATCCTATATTTTACGTGTCTCTTTTGGAGCCATATAAGATAGTGAATATCTTGGGAAGAAGACAAATGCCACCTTCTCCTATAGAAGTAGATAATAACTAAGAGTTTGAGGTAGAAGAAGTCTTAGACTTAAGGTGGCACCGAAATAGGTTGAAATATCTTGTTCATTGGTGTAGATATGATATTAGTGAATGCACATGGGAGCCATCAAAGAATCTTACAAATATAGCAAAAAAAATTGAAGACTTTCATCAATGACATCCATCAAAACTAAGATGAAGAATAGCAAACCTTTGCCATAAAAGAAACAAGATCAAAGGAAAATAACATTCTACTTTCTATCTTTCATTGTAGCTTCTGTGTATTTGTGATGAGATGGAGCACCAACAACCAATAGATTCAACTCAAGAGCTTTCATTTGTAGACTTACCTGATGAGACATTGCAATTATCACAACCTTCAAGACAACAGAATCAAGATGAAGATCTTCAAGAACGACATGTCCTTCCTCGAATAGATGGTGAGATACAACGTGTTTGATATCACGACCTTGGAAGAGACTCTCGATGTTTAGTGATTTTATTAGAAGTAGGAACAATTCTTGACGCTGTTCCAAATATTTTATTTGAAAGAAGTTACAAAGGCCTCAACAATGACCAAATAACAAGGTAGTCTTTTCGTCGTGGTATGAGATACTATAGATGGTTGTGAGGATCTATTGTTCTCTCCCTATGTTTTATTAGAGGTAAGAACAACTCTTGATGGTGTTCCAAATATTTTGTTTGAAGGAAGTTATGAAGGCCTTAACAATGACCAAATAATAGGATGGTCTTCTTGCCCTAATATGGGACACTAAAGATGGTTGAAAAGACCTATCAACCATCTTTGAAGAGAGCGAAGATCGGAGTATGTAGCAAATGTAATTCGCTGCATCTTAGACTTTTTCAACATATGAAGATCCCTCCTCGTGGAACTCGTCCCTAGAAAGAGGGATAATGTCACGGACATATATATTTACCTCAATAGTTACTTATATGAATAAGTAGAAATAGATAAATATAAAATAATTTCATAAATTTTTTTAGAGAAGCTTCCTAAAAGCTTCATAGATGCGGTTTTGACTTTAGATGTGTTTATAGGTTAGAAACTTAGCCAAAAAGCTAACCATGTATTGGTAGCTTGTGGAACAAGTTATCTCCGTATAGTAGCTTATAGAACAAGTTATCTCTGTATAGTAGCTTGTAGAACAAGCCTACTACGTGGTGCATACATAGATAACTTGCCTTACAAGATAAGACATATGGCTAGCAAAATCAACGCATGTTGGAGGTCGTATAGGATATCGCCACGTAACTCTTAGTTAAATAGTATATATAGAGGCAAGAGTGAAGCCTTCTTCACTCTTGTCAACGCCTTTCTAATCTTAGTCTTGTTTCAAGACTTTCTAGGCTTTTTTGTTTTTGGCAATAACCATTCTAGTTAATATTATATCACCTTTTGAGTGACTTTCTAGTTTTCTTCAGTGATAGAAGAGTGTATTGAGGATTCTCTTTCTTCAAGATTCATGTCCTTAATACAAAGCCCAAAAAGCATTGGACATATCTTACAATTTTTGGAATCTTCCAATTCATAATTGTTTGAATTTTTTTAGGATCCATCATAAGTTCATCATTTGAAATGATATATCCTAAGAAGTTGACTTGAGTAGTGTGGAATACACACTTTTCTAGCTTAGTATAGAGTCCCTCATCTCTTAATTTTTGTAACACACGACAAACATGAAGTTCATGTTCATCTGTGTTCTTAGAATATATCAAGATGTCGTCCAGATAATAGACAACAAAATTATCTAAAAACTCTTGAAAAACATCATTACATTTTTAAGTTCAAAAGGCATGACGTTGTATTTAAAATGCCCATATCTAGTTCGAAATGCAGTCTTCTATTCATCTCTTTCTTTATTACATACTAGATTGTATACTCCCCGTAGATCTATTTTTGAAATGGTAATTCAATTGAAAGATTTTGAAATTTATTTAATTAAAGACATGATTATAAATTGTGATAAAAAAAGTTTAAGTAATTTGTTCCATAGGGATATTTGTAAATAAGAAGTAATTTTGGACTTTTCTTTACAAATTTTGGAATATTAAACAAAGTTTTTATAATGTACATACAATGTTATATCATGTTTATCCAACTACTTAATTTTAGTACTTTGTAAGGGTATCATTGCATGGTTTAGAACCTTATTTGAATAATACAATTATGATTGTAATTAAAATTTTAAACCATTGACATATTCTAGTATTGGTCCTTCATGATTCTTCCAATTGTTATGAAGAGTCTATAGTAATTGTCTATAATATTTATAAATTTGTATGATTATTTTATGTTTCAATCAATGTATATAACACTTTTATTTTAAACATGCATAAGTAACAAGATTGAATTTAAAATAAAACAATGTATGTTAAATTTGACATTAACATATTAAATAATTTAACATAACTTTGTAAATAAAAAAATATGGCAATGTGTACAAAGCAAAACGTGACTCCAAAAAAATGCTCCCACATTTGTTATTTGAGAAACAATAGGTTATATATAAATAATTAACATCCATTGTTACATTAGCTTTCAAATTATCCATGTAATGACACATAAGTAGAAGAAATCATGGCCCCATTGTTTAACATGTCAAGTTTATCCTCTCAAAGAAATCCACATAACATATCAAAGATGATTATAATGTTAAAAACACATTAAAATCAAACCATCATGGAAAAGAAAAAAACATGATTTTTGGTAGAAGTCAATTTTTGTTAAAATATGATAATATAGGTTAAAAATTATATTATAAAATATTAAATGATGTCCAAATCTCTACTAATGAAACATAGTTGGAACAATTGCTATAATTGAGTATACTAATTAGCTCCCATCACTTCTTTATAATTGTGTTGTTTTTGTAGAAAGTAATAGTAAGATCTAGAAATTGGTCTTTAATCCTAGTATTATATTTATTTTACAAATGACATCCTTTACCGGCTCAATAGAAGAGACTTATTGGAGAGAGCATCAAAAATAATGACAACATGAAGAGAAGAAGGAGGAATTCAACACACTTGGAGACAGAGAAAAAGAGAGAGAGCACAATATATGCTCCCACAGAAAAAACAAGTTCAACAAAGCCACCGTCCGCCATTTGGGGGATTGGGATAAAGGACGGGGGCACACGTTGGGAACAAGAAGAAAAGACTGAGGTTGTGTGAATAAGAACATGGGACGGGAGATGGGATCAAGAATGGGGATGAGGGCTAGAAACGGGGAACCGGGGAAGGGGGTACAATGTTGGTTATGATGGGTGGATTGATTTAGACTGGTGGGGTTGATTTAATATTTCAAAGACATTTTATAAAAGTGTTATTTGATATTACAGATTTTAATACTGTGACAATAACTTTCACAAGAAAGGGACTTATAAAACATTTCATTCAAGAGCATTTACTACCTCGTGAGTGGATGAGAGATTGTGGGGCTTGTTAGCACTGAGCGATGCATCGCGTCATGAGCAGCGCCGGCGAGCCGCAGGGCATCATTCAAGCGCCTCTCTGACGGGACAGGCTCACCGGATCATGGATTGCCGGCGCACGAAAAGGAGTTCATGGTCATGTCCGATTGTGACCCGGCGCGATGGGCTCTAGCGGACAGAAATTTTCACATCCTGCCCCTTCTCCCGCAGCCGAAAATATGAGACAAGTATGCTCTATACTGAGGAGCTTATTTGCTTGTGCTGCGTGTAAGAACCACCAGGTCCGATTGCTGATCGCTGGGGGGGATGTGCGCGGTCCTTGCGCAGGATTTGGAATCCAATTCGGGTCGCTTGGCGAAGCAGATCAAGAATTACTGCGACGTGAAGACTGTCAAAGATATGGTACAAGAAAATGAGAGATTCAACAAGCAGATTGTCGAGGATTTGGTGAAGATCGTCAACAAAATGAACGATATGGTGGCAGCTTCGCACACCCAGTTCGTGACGCTGCAGAATATGGTAGCTGACGTCGAAGCGTTGCGTTTGAAGGCCGCGAAGGAGATAAGGAACATGGAAGTACCGCACATACGAGGTAGTTGGCAATCAATTTGTGTTCTGTCTCAGATTAGTCTGCAACTTTCTTCAAGAATGGAATGATCGTCCTGAGATTTACTGCAGATCTGGAGGAAATGATCTTAAAAGCGCATAAAAAGGAAGCACCCACAATGAGATAGTCATGCCACGCCAAGTGGCGCTCACAAACAAGTTGCGGACGCTTGAGAGCCGCTGCGTGGAGCTAAGAGATACCGAGACGAAACTGAGGCGCAGCAAAGAAGCTGTGCAACTTCAATTCGAGAAGGAAATGGAAAATGTAAAATCGAATCTGTTCTTAACGTTTTGATGGTAACAGCGGTTAGAGGATTGAAAACATCTAACCGAAGTTGAATGGACTTCACAGTCAGGATAGGATTATCAGTGAACTTTGGCTCTGCAAGCTGGGCTTTAAATCATGAAGATTCATTCGACAGGCACAAAGACTGGCAAAGGAGGCCAGCTAGCAGGCGGAATTGCATGCAGCAATGCGGTGCAAGCAAACGGTGGAACAGAAAGAGCTAATCCAAATATACGAGGTTTGCTATCCTAGTTCCGATTAAGTTTCCATTGTTAAGTGCCTAGCCAGCTCACTGTGCCAAATAGACACACATGAGAACGAGGCGTAAACTTTTTAGCTGTGGCTCATGTAGGGCGAGAGCATGGAGCTGGAGCTTGCCGTTCAGAGGAAGATAATGGAGCCGATGCAGAAGCAACTGCTTGAGCTGGAGAAGCATCAAGTCAAGGGATTGCTTGAAATGGAAAAATCGGAAGAATCGGACAAGGACAAGCTTGCCGAGCTTGAAGCTGAGCTGGAGATGAATCAAGTCATGGTCAATGCGCTGTCCACGATTGAGCGAACAGCGAATGGACTCGAGGAGGCAAATAAAGTCGCCGTAGACGTGAGTTTCTCTTAGTTTAGAATAAGACTTCTCTTTTGGGGTGAATGACGTACCAGCCTTTCGTATCTCTAACCCTACATCAGTTGTTGAAAACGTATGGAGACGAGACTATTGTTGGCATCAAGTACGCGGGATCAATCAAAAAAGCACCATGGATAGCTGCTTGCAAGAGGAAATACCATCCTGACAGTTGTGAAGAGGCAGCGTCAAAAATGATATCTGAATGGGAACAACGGTTGAAGGATCCGAAGTGTCACCCATTTACGACGGTGGGCGTTGGAGGGGACAACTGGAAGGTGATTTTGCAAGTTCTGGATGAGTATTTTTATGCTCGAGTTGAAAGCCTAAGCATGGTAAATTGCATTGTTTTGAATGGACTGAGGGGAAGTTGAAAACGATTTGCGGCGGCTTTCGAACTGTTCAGCGAATCATTAATAAGAATGATAAATTCCTGAAGGAGCTGAACCAGAATTTGGGGATGGAGGTTCTGCAAACAGTGACAACTGCACTCATGGAGATGGAGGAATACAACGCTAGTGGTCGGCCTTTGATGGCGGTAGCCTGGGACTTTCGGAAGAACCAGCAAACTTCTTTGAAGAAAGTTCAACTTTACTTCAAGGAAATCCTTGAATCTAATAGATGGAGGTTTGGTGCAAAGAAGAAGCGCATCGCATAATTCTGCTGGTAGAGCTGGTAGAGCTGGTAGAGCTGCTTTTGTAAAAATGTTTGGATGCTGTAGTAGCCTGATCTTCAACAATGCCAGACTCAAAGCTATACATCAGTTGTACCTTGCCAGAAAGTCTCGAAGCTCGAATTATGCATGGTTTAATTTGATAGCGGATTAAGGACTTGGTAATCGTTAATGACTAACGACAAGAATTTTCTCGTAGATCGTGTATATTGTTCACAGATGCGCAAGTTGCATTTAGATCGTTAATGAAGTATCAAGATTCTATGAGGATCCGTCTTCGAAAAGGGCTGCCATGCTCATAGGATGTACCCTTCGACCTCTACAGACTAGATTTTGTTCTGTGGAAACAATTGTCATATTGTGACTACGTTGCAACCAACTGCTCAGGACAGAAAAGTTGTTCACATTTCCTTCTTTCTGTATTACCATGCAATGAGGTTAACATATATATGTTTTAAATAGTTTTATTGAAAATTAAAATTTATACTTATATTTATATTTTTATTATAATTAAAAGATCATAAATTAAATTTATCAATATATATTATTTATTTCTTATTTTAAAATAAGAAATAGTTAAAAAAATATTTTTGTCTTAGAATTGTAAAATTCACATACATATTATAAGAATAGATAGAGTTTTTTTTTGTAGACTTATGTGTAGAAAGATATTAGTAATATTTAAATATTACCTTTTAATTATTTATGTGAAAAAAATTAAAATAAGAATATTATAATATATTTGATCAATACAATGATATAAGGATTTCAAAGATAGATACATAAATTCTTCTACCTCTTTTTTACTACCTGGGAGCTAAAATAGATTCCTTGTAATTGGTATTTTATTAAAAAAACATATAATAATTCATCATGCTTGAATTGTTTAATTAATTGCATTTGCACTTGGAATCCATTTATATAATCATCCTAAATTCATTCAATGTAATTCAATCAATAAAATAATTTCATATCATATATGTTAGAATTATTCATCCTAAAATATTCTTCTAATACAAAAGTTCATCCATTAGTAAAAATATTTATCTAAAATAGAAGTTCATCTATATAAAATATTCACTCAATATTAAACTTCAATTACTCAAAAATTCTCATAAAAAGTAGAGGACATTGAAGATGAGCATGAATAGAAGGAAGACAATTGTCGAGCAACAAGGAAGGAAATCTTGTTAAATAGATTATGAATGGCATATTCGAATACAAAATATTAAGATACAAAACATTAGAATAGTATTGGTTTTTGAGACACTTATTCAAAGTAGATAAACACCTATGCTTGCAAACAACAAAGGTACTAAATCCATACTAGAGGTAGTAATCAAGCAAAATATTTTTCTTGTGACCAAAAATATGTAGTTGTAAGGTTTTCAAGTTTCATAGATAGTTAAAATTATTATAAAATATTAAAAAGTGTTATCTAATCTTGCTTGAAATCTACTCTTTTTTTTCATTACAACATTTAATTCTTTAGAAAAACTTACATAGGCTATCTTAGGTGTGAAGGAATAGGAACATATAACTAACACTTTAAGAAGATAAAAATGTCATCAAAACTTTTTTTTTTTGTTGAATTATGATTAAAAATTTACCTATAAATATTGATTAACTATAGATTGACTAGATACAAGCATATAACCAAAGACAATAAGACCAAAAGAGGGTTGAAATAACAACACAAGAAAACAAAGAAATAGTGCTAAAATAACACTAATTAGACTTAAAGAGTACCTCCATCCCATAAAAAGGGAGATCACACACTTGTAGTTAAGATTGCAAGAAGAACATAAGTATTAATCATAATAGAAAAATATTGAGTTCACTTAAATTAATGACTTGAAAGAATCATAATAGAGATTATTGAAGATGGAAATCTAAAATCAATAAGAATGACAATTATTAGTCACAAAAATAATAATTATTAATCACAAACACCAATATGGAAAGCATTGACAACAACTGCCATACAAAGACAACATTGAGTTAGAATCCATACAAGTATTGACTAACAACTTGAAGAGAAACAAAGAGATATTCCAAAAAGAATACCATTATTGTGATGTAGACCACTAAATTATTAAACAATAGGAATTCATATGCATTTTGTCTACTTTAAGTATACAATTAGATTGATATTAATATGATGTTGTTTTAGTTTATATATTTATTTGCATTAGTAGAAGACCAACTATTAGATTGACAACTAAGAAGGTTTAGTAATAAGGATTAGGACAAGGATAGGATAGACTATATGTAATGGCTTATCAACATGGAGACAACTAGAAGTTATCTTGGAGATAAATGGGAGTCATCTTAGAGACAACTGAGAGACATCTTGGAGAAATCTTGATGAGATCTTAGTAAAATCTTAGTAATATTTTTGAAGTATTAATGTGATTTAAGGAAGTGAGGAGAGGCACAAAGGACATTGCTATTATATCTATTATTTTGGCTAATAAAGAAGGTAGGTTTTAGGTCTCAATTTGGAATTTATTGTAATTAATTAGAGTCTTTAATTAGAATAAACTTCCAAGATAATATTTAAAACAAGTCTATCCATATTTTCATAATATTCGACGACAAAAACTAATCAAGTTATGGAGAAACAAAGTGCTACAACTTTGAGGGATTAGAACTTAGTCTCTATGGTAATGAAACTTAGAGTATATTTATTTTTATCAAGTCAAAAAAATAGATGAAATATTTTATGATATTATAATATATTTTTTAGGAGAAATAAACTAAAGATTAATTAAGTATAAAATTGTGAAGAAAAAGTAGAGACTAGAAAGTTAGCTTAATGGATTTTCTCACTATAAATGTTTTAAGTCATCAATTACTTTTAAAATTATAATTTCAAGTAGAGATAAGATATGTGATTTTTTGCAAAAGGTTTCAGATTATTCCATTGATTTTATATTGAGTTATATAAGTTCAAAGTGAGGTAGATTATGATAGGTATAAGTAAAGGATTTGGTTATAATTTAGTATAAATAAGTACAAAAGAGAGTGTAGAAACTAACTAAGATATATATAAGCAACAAAGATTTCTAAAACAAGATGCTTTAAGCTTTCTTGGATTAACAACAAACTTTTTGATATTGCCGCAAGTTATTATAGAAGAATTAGAGAAAAAACACAAGGAGTGACTACAATATAAGCTGCATGCTACAACACTAACTACAAGAGGAGAAAAAAAAAATATTCCAAAATACATAGAAAATCAAATTATTTTCAATTACAGCCTCTTCAAAAGTATTTAAATTTCTTTAGCCACAAAATTTTTATCTTCAAAAGAAGTAGCTTTATTCTTCTTCAAAACCTTCATCTATTTTTATTTATATTCATGAGAAATACTAAATATTTTTTTAAAGCCACTATATTTGTAAAAGATGATAATCCTAATAGAATATGTAATTTTTTAATATTAAATAAGATTAGATCTAGAAGTACAAAATATATTAAAAAATTCATATATTTGAAGATATGATATGATACAATTATGACTTGCAAGTTGACACAAATGTGGTATAATAATAGCTTAATGATATTTTTTTTATTGATTTAATAAAACTAACTTGTAATATTTATTTAAATTTTTTATTTTCTATTAATTGGAGTTGGAGATTTATATGCCATTCTTTTTGCCTAATTTTTTTGGCATCAAGAATCAAAGATATATAATATTAAGCCATTTTAAGTGGTACACTCTTTAAATCTTTTTATGATTAACCTAATACAACTTAATACTCTTTGATCAATTTTTGATATTTAGAAGTCTCAATTTAACTTAAGTGAGCACCAATTTTAATATTTTTGGTTTCTTTTCCATTATATGATATATTTATGATCTTTTATTTTTTTTCTTGTATTAGAGATTATTCAAAAGAGTTTTTATATCAATTAATTTGTATAGGAAGGTAGTTTATAATTATATTTTAAATAATTATTTTTAATGAGATATTTTAAAGTCAAAGAAATTAAACTAAATTATTATCTAATTTAAAGACTTCAATGTATTTTTTTAAGGTTCCATCCATATTTATTCCAAAGACTTGGAATTTTTTAACCTTTATAATCTTAATTATATCTTTTAAAATATTAATTATTTCATAATAATCAAAATTAGAATTTGGATGGTCATACAACTATTTTTTAAATTCTTCATCATCCTTTCAATGATAAAAGTTTGAATCTAAATATTATATTTTTTTAGATTCTTCTTCAATTGAACAACTTTAATTTGAGTCTAATAGAATACTCCATCATATGAAGTAATAATAGGATTAATATTATATTTATTTAAGATTGGTTGTATGAAGATCTTGGTTTTTTTATTCCAAAGGCCTAAGGTGATGTAGCATTTTTCTCTTCTTAAATTTATTAAGGGTTTTGAATCCCTCAATTAAGGCCGATCTAATCTTTTGATGTATGCATTTGAATAATATGATATATCAAAATATATTCTTTTCTATCAATTAATATTTTTCAATTCTTAATTTGACCAACTGGTATAGATGGAATTTAATTTGCCATTTTGATAACAAAAAATAATAGACTAATGACACTTGATATCAATTTTTCAATTATTTGAAAAGGCATAATATTTAAACTACTTCCACCTTTTATTATAATATATGGAATAATTTTAAATATAATAGTAATTTTAATTTCTATTCCTTTCACATCACTTTATTTTGAGTAAGCATCTATTTTAGCTGTCACTCTTATTTTGGACTTCTTTTTATTTCTAATTAAAATCTATATTTT